GTTGAAGCGCATTTTTGGACAGTTTGACGAACGAACTTTCCATACAATCTTCAATAGTTTCATCCGTCTCCATTTAGAGTACGGAAACATAGTACTCCCCCCTCACTCCAAAAGGACAAGGTCACTTTGGAGCGTATTCAACGGCGAGCCACGAAATCAGTTCGAGGACTCAAATCTAAACCTTACGAAGAACGCGTCCATTCACTAGACCTTTACCCATTAGAGTATAGGCGTCTTAGAGGTGATGTATTAATGGCTTATAGTATTCTTAACAATTCTGGACATCCTCTTAAACACCTACTCAAGCTTAGTTGGAATAATAACCTAAGGGGTAACACCCAGAAACTGGAAACACAACATAGCAAGACGGAATGTAGACACAACTCCTACTCCTTAAGAGTTGTCAAAAGTTGGAATTCGCTGCCGGCCGAGCTAGTCCAAGCGACTTCTCAGGAGTCCTTCAAGAGGCAACTCGACCTATTCTTAAGGACTAAGGACAGCATCACACTAAGATTTACCAATTTCCTTTGCTCTTTTATTGTTAACATACCTAGGTTCCTGCCTGGAGGATTTGGTGATCCCCTGCAAATAGACACGGAAGCCTGTTAAGCGAAAGCTTCTTCTATTCCGTCCACAACCATTTGAACCATTTGAACCATAAGATTCATGTCAGTTCTTACTCTTCATTAGTGTAAATATTTTGTTGTCTCTTTGATCCCGGGATTGCCTTAATACTTCTAGGTTTTGCAAACATTTCTTTAGTCGTTTTGCTCTTTCCTGATAATTTCTTGTTCTTAAATGTTATACGTTTACCTGGTAAAATTTTACTAAATGACAGCATGACCTTTTTATATTATGCACACGTCTAATTTTTGCACTTCTTATTCTGGTGTTTGACTTCCTGTGTACCAACCTTTTCTGCACTGATAGTTTTTTCTACGGTGCTAATTTTTCCAGTGGTCCGTCAACAACTTTATTAAGGATCAACTCCAGAAGGACTATTGCCTTCTCGATAAATGATGCTTTACTCGAACGGCAAAAATTAAAAATTCATTCAGATCTGAGCCTGAAGCATTTTACCACTCAGTGGGTTTTGCAAGAAAAAACGCTTTTTGTAACTACTATTTCACACATCATATTACATCCTTTTATTCATATGAACAATTTGGCCCTCCACATTTTTAAGTACAGCCGATCCTGTGAGCAGATTTCAAGGAGAAATATCAGTAGAATGATGAAAGGTAATCCTTAAACGATTGATGATTATTCCCACTACTGATCACATTTTCTACTGTGCACTGGGCGACCACCCGAAATGATGCTGTGATTATTATTTACACTGTTTTAACCTACTATGAAAGGTATGCCTAATTCTTTGTCATTTTCGCTGGCTCATATAAAAGAAATAAAGAGAAAAACTGACCCATCATGGTGCGGACTTGTCAGGTGTAGCGCGTTCAGTCACGACGTGAAAGTGACATATTCATTTTGTTCCACAACGTTAATTATTCGAAAATGTATAATGTTTTGAATTATTTGAATTATAGCACGAATTAAGAGTCCCAGAAATAACGCGATTGAATTAAGAAGGGGCAGTGATTTTTGTACTTGTTGTGATTATACTTGCTTTTGGTGCTTATTGCACTAAAAAGCATTCTTTGTCTACTTTAACTAAGAGTTCTTTGGTTAAAGTTTGAAATTTTTTGTTAAATTTTGTCCTGAGTACCTGTTTTTTAGTCCTTGACTAACTCTTGTGTTCACATTGTTATCATTTTTTGTTTTTAAACCTTTTAAATCGAATTACAATGGTTGGTAAGACTCACAAATTGTTTGTTCTCCGTTGAGGAGGGAATGCAGTGTGACGATTGTAAAAAGTGGTATCACAAAATGTGTACACGACTAAGTCCGACGGCTTACAAAAGATGCTCGAAGCCTAACTCGCATTGGCTTTGTATGTTCTGCTGTACGGATAAAAAGGTATTAATACAGGAGGCTATGGGCCTATTGGCTGTGGCCTGCAAGAAGAACGGTGGCGGAAGCACTGATAACAGGAGCACTGACGATGAAGAATCTGTCAGTGTAGTAAGCGCTGCTACTGGACCCGTTAAACACCTGACTGCGGTTGACGGGAACGTGAAATCTCCGTTGACATTAACGAGGAATGAAGTGTCGCTTGATGTCGACATCGGCAGTCATACACCTCTAGTCGAAATAGAAGATCCGGATAAAACTGTCACCGTTCCACATAGTCCAGGTGTGGCTGTTCTGAGTGGCGACAAATGGACTTCGGTAAGGAGAAAAAAAATAAGAAGAAAAAGGTTGTAGGCCAAACGCAGCTGGTCAGCAAGGCGTTGGAAGGGATGTTATCAGAAGAAAAATCCTCACTGCGTGACAAGACAGATCTCTCCGCAAGATCAGTCATTTTTCATAAGATAAGAGAATCTTCAGATACTGAACCAAAGGCAAGATTTGAACATGATCTCAATCATATTAAGTAAACTACTCCCAGATACAGTTTCAGGAGTTAGTATTTGTAAGCTTTATAGAATAGGAAAAAAGGTGGATTCCGAAAGTCCTCAGAAAGGTTACATTCAACGCGGTGGAAGAAAGGAACCTGATTCTGAGTAATTCACGTAAACTGATTGGATCCGGAACATATGTCCGTGAGGACATATATTGTTTGTCAAACAATTGCGCCGGCCCGTCTTAACATATGGAAGGCAGATATGCAGGCAATTAACTACGCAGCATCGGCTGAGAACTGTGAAATTGACTCAAAGGCATCAGTACAAGAGGCATGAACTCTATTCAGGCAGTTATACAATCGGGTAACTCAACCGTACATACCCTGGACTGTCCCAAAGAAAAAGAAGCACGGACATCCCTGGATAGGGCGGGATATTCGACGATTACTAAGACAAAATAAGAAATGCTGGGATGTTGCCATCCGCCTTGGCACAGCAGGTACGATGGAACGCTACAGATCGATACGAAACGAGTGTATAACTAAAATTCGGGAAGCGCAAAGAAAATATGAAATGCAGCTGGCACAATCTGCACTCAAGCAGCCCAAGAGGATATTCTCGTACATAAACTACAGAACAAGGATTCATCATTAGATTCCCAACCTAATTAAAGTAGGAAGTGAATCTGAAATGATAGAGGAAGATCAGGAAAAACCTGAGGTTATGGCTGACTACTTTGGGGCAGTTTTCACTCAGGAACCTCCTCTAGAGAAAGAACCAGACCCAATTACAGAGTCAACAAACCAGCTGCTCACCGTGGACTTCGACCAAAACGATGTGCTTAAGGCTCTTAGCACCCTAAACATGGAGAAGTCAACAGGACCAGATGAACTACACCCTAAAATCTTGAGACATATTGCCCAATATATCACAGCCCCACTGACTGTGATATTCAAAATGTCACTTGACCAAGGTGTGTTACCTATGAACTGGAAGGACGAAATCGTCACTCCCATACATAAAACAGGTGCACAAGTTCCATCGAATTACAGACCCGTAAGCCTCACCAGTAGTGTAATTAAAATACTGGAAAGTATAATCAAACGGACCATAACGGCATTTATGGAAACCAATAACTTGCTGAACATAGCACAACATAGTTTTAGTAAGCGTCTATCCTGTACAACGAACCTCCTTATAGCTAGGGAGCTCTGGATTAATGCGCTAGACAACGAAAACTCAGTGGATGTTGTCTACAGTAAGGCTTTTGACAAGGTGCCAACTAATAGACTGCTATTGAAGTTGGCAAACCTTGGTATTGCCGGACCTCTTTTAAAATGGATTAAGGATTTCCTAGTAGGTCGTAGGTGAAAATTAAGAATAAATTACAAGTGCTCCATCTGGAGACCAGTACTTAGTGGAGTACCCCAAGGTTCCGTCTTAGGTCCTTTACTTTTTATAATGTACGTTAATGATCTTACAAGTATAGTACAGTCTCCAATGTTATTATACGCTGACGATGTAAAAATTTGGCGAGTAATAACTGGAGACAAAGACGCATTTACTCTTCAGGCGGACTTAAACAATATGATAAACTGGTCTAAAGAGTGGCTGATGCCTATCAACTCGGAAAAGTGTGTCTACATGCACTTGGGGGATTCAAAGGTTAATACGTACAACATAGGGGATGTGTCATTACCCGTAGTCCGGTCTCATAAGGACCTAGGGGTGACAGTGAGCAATGATCTACTACCATGTTCACCATAGTACACACATCCTTAGTGAGAACTAAGTTAGAGAACTGTATTCAGGCTGCAAGCCCCTGTTTAAAAAGTGACTCAGACATACTAGAAAAAGGTACAGAGGGCAGCTACACGTGCAATTTCGGAACTCCGGGGTTTATCATATAAAGAGCGGCTTGAAAAACTGAACCTCTTTACTCTGTCCTATCGCAGACCAAGGGGAGATCTAATCTTGATGTACAGAGTACTGAGAAATGATTTCGGACCTAACTTATCCTCTCTCCTTCTTCTAACTAGATCGGGACATCTCAGAGGACATAGCAGGCGAGTAGAAAAGCCAAGAACGAACAAAATACCCGTGGCATACAGGTTTTCACACCGAGTCATCAATACTTGGAACCTGCTGCCTGAAGTAGTGGTGTCCGCACCTTCAATTGACTCTTTCAAGAGAAGACTGGACACTCACAGAAGCACACTAGAAAAGGAATAACATAGGCCGTAGGCCTTCTGTCCTTACTATACAAATCTGAATCTGAAAGACACAAGTACAAGCGAATGTATTGTATTTGGGATTCGAAATCAAGCATTCAACAAGTACAAAGGTATCATTAGTTCATTCAAACACCACAAAATGTCTACAACCGATAGACTAAATGAACCATACATATCCGTGATCACTGACTAGAGTTGACAACGCTTGATATCAATTCAATGTGCCCTGATTTAGTATTGTTGAGACTTTTCCAATCTTAAAAAGGTTTAGCAACTGCCTAAAGGCTCTAATTATATTTTTGAGGACTGTTTGGCTCCGTTAACTTTCAGTCTATTTTCGTGGGTGGCTCTTAAATTTTATGGTTGCTTGTTCGTGACTGAAGGCCATTCCTCAAGGTTGTACATTTATATGGTGTGGTTATGATGCCCGGTGGCGAATCTGGCGATGATGTATGTCTTGATTATGGGTTCGTCACTTTCTCTAGAAAGACACGAAGCAAAAAGAAGATGTGGAGAAAAGAAATCAGGAGATTCGTGCCAGTATTCTAGCGCAAATTCTCGATCAAGATGCAAGAGCACGTTGTAAGTTCATTAAACATGCATTTTCTATTTATAGTGAATACCATTGCGATCACAAAGCCAGAAAAAGCTAAAATGGTTGAAAACATGCTCATCAACATGGCTCAAACTGGACGTCTTGGACCAAAGGTATCAATATATCGTAAAGTATTACTGTGGGTGTATACTGTAGTTGCAAGTGTTGAGATTTGATATTGTAGTTAACTTTACAGACATTCTTTTTTGATTTGAAGTGTTTCAGGTGGGTTTTTTAAGCGATATTCAGCTAATCGTACATGCAAATACAGTGTGCTGGTTATCAATCGACGTACTCATTTGAGAACGATCATCTCGGAGAGCGTTGTTTCGTTATAAAACTTTAACGTTATTATCATTAACTGCAAGATTACTACTTTTGTGGTGTTCTCATCCCAGAATCTTAATAAACGCAAGCCGTTTATTTCGACGTTATGAACTACTTGTAGCTTTCAATGTTAGTGGCTTGGGCTGCAACACTTTAATCGCAAGACTTTTACCTCGTAATTACTTATGATAGCGGAAGTGTTATTGCAGAACGTGAGTACCACTAAAAACTAACAATCACATGTAGTGTATATTTCATACATCGAGGCCATTGAAGTCCACGAATGTATGGGTCTGTATTGTTCCTTCCCATATATCGTATTATTGAGATCTCTTCTATACAGTTTTATAATAAGGTCCTCGTATTATGTGTCCTAGTAAATCTGACTAGATCAGTACCTTCCACAAGAGCTCCAGACGCATCACTTTGTTCTCAGGCTAAGAATGTAGTTCTCTCCCAATAAATGCGGTTTAAGAACAAAAATAGGTTTAAGTATTATATGCTGACATCCTTGGGCGAATTGTCAGCCAGTCTGAAAACACTACCTAGTTGTAAAACAATAAACAATGCAAAGTAGTGGAATAACAGCTTGGATCCAAATAATTAACTCACACATGTCAAATTATCCATTGTAGAAGAAAAGGGTCAATTTCACATATATGTTAGGAGTCGGGCTAGTGTTGTGGATTAGAGTAATCACCTCGTAGAACTTTCGTCACCGACTAGCATCAATTCTAATCCCAAAAGGTTAGAGTCAAATGTTATGTGTTAAACTGAAGTTTTGAGTTAGTTTTACAAATTTGGATCAAGGTTTCCAACACGAACTGATATCAGCTATAATACAACGCTTCACCACCTTTCTGTTGACGAACTTCAGCAATTCAGGATTGACATTCACCGTAAGCATAAAAATGAGAGAACATCATTTAGCTTCACTAAACACTTGATTACGCAATGAACGACATCAAGTAATTAAACACACATTCTGCATTAGGAGCAGGTATGTTGTGTAATTTATGTCAAGCACCACTTAAAATTTACTTTTTGATTGCAAAATAGATGTGTTTATTGACTTTAAGCATTTAACGAACCAAATATTGCCAATTTTCATTTAGTGAATAACAACGTACATTATCACAGTACTTTGGATTTCGCGCAATACACAAAAGGCATTATCTGACTTGTGCCTGGTCAACTTAAGGCCTTCGGTTCACGTTTTCATGAAAATTTCTTTCAGCATTTTGAAAAGTATGCTCACCAAAATTATTATAGTGTATATGACGTAAAAATTTAAACAGTCCAGACCATTATATCTTGTAGCGTTGACTTTTTTGTGCTATTGCAAGATAGTATTTCTGGGAGCCTTGGTTACATCCATACATCTTTAGTAGACTTTGTTAGTTCTTATCTACCGACTTCACATTTCCAAAACCCAATAAATAGGTATAACAAGAAAGTTAACGTCTTTGTTATAGATTTTTAATAGTTGTTGGGTAGAAATGCAACTTCGCACTCTTCTATGATTAAAGGCATTTTGGTCACTTGGATATTTCCAAATAATAGTTCCACTCGAGGGAATCAGAGTAGCCATATGACATATTGTTCTAGCGATTATAAATGAATTTCAGACACATAATGGTTTCTCGATAATTGATTTTTTCACAGCCGTTTGTGTCCACTAACCGTGTATCTTCAGTATATGAGGTTTAAAGCTCTATTTCGTTGTCTCAACCATAAATTTGAACGGAAGTCCTAGTTGTTTTGTTTGGAAAGTATTTCTGTAATAAAGTACTGTTTGTAGAGTAGTTTTACCTTCTTATCTGTGTAGTATGATGAAGTTTCTTGCTAGTCATAAACCATACAGTCAAACAAATACGTTGAGTTTCGTCCCGCTTCTCAAGCTTTTGTTGTTCGTGATTGCTAATGTTTTTTAGTATTTTTCTTATATCTAACTCATTTTAGCTGAATGAAGAGCAGTTAAAACAAATTCTCCTGCAGGTTTCTTCGGGTACTCAGAAATCTACCACAGTAAAGGTAGGATATTTAACTCACTAGTTTTACGATTTACGTTCACTTAGTTTGATCGTCGTCGCGCAGCTATCGATTCAGACGAGGATTCACTTTAACGTTTGTTCAACTGAATTTCCGAAGTAAGGCATGTATATGGATGAAGATTTGGAGATACATAGATTTTTTAATTTGTAATAGGAAGATTAATGGCTCTGTAAAAATAATTAAAATTTGACTTGATTGAAATCTTTTTTTTCTGAATTCTAGTAAATTGTATGCTCGTCACGATGTAGATTTTTGTATACTTGTATTTGCGAATCGTTAGCAATTAGCGCTTCACAGTCAAGATTATTCAATATTTCTCCAATGCTCAAAAATGGGTTAAGAAACAAGCTATTAATGTTGAATGCTTTTAACATTCAACATCACGTTAAAGTGGTTAAGTTTTGATTATCCCGTTAGATTATCAGCTCTTTAGTTTGAAACGAATTTTGAAGCTATATCATGCAAATATAACCGCAATTATTAAATTCTCACATTTTCGCCAAATTTTTTTCCTAGATATTCGACTGGACATTTTCCATCTTACTTTTTGAACATTACTATCCCTGAGAATCCACTAATTGTTTGAGTTATGTTAGGTCAAGACACTGAATAAATGCAGTTTTCTAAGCACATTGAGAGAACATTTTAAAATGTTTTATATCTTTTGAGTTTTTGAGTAGATCGCTACGTCTTTATATTATGGATAGAGCGGTCAACTGCTGCTGTCATTTCATGATTGAACAATAACATGTCGAAACTATTTAGACCCAATATCATAGTTGACATATGGCAGAAAACTTATATATCACTTTATCAAAGGAAAACTTGGTTGTGTATTGGACCTTTCGTTTCTTTATCTTCTGATGTGATCATTAACGACAAGGATTATCAAAATATCTCATTCAACCACAAGTTTCTTCAGAATGTGTCAAAGTGATGGTCAAGGGTATGACCATTCGATTTTCAACTAGTGGGTCACAATTCAGAATCTCGCTTCACATATTTTAGTTTGTATGGTCAGCATTGATAACAATCACATAATTGTTGCTGCAGCATTTCACCATGATATTTGAATAATCTTTCATCTTTGTTAAGACAACCATTTGAGCAACTTGTTTGAAGTAGGATGATATGCGACTGAAACAAATCAATTATCGGAGTTATGAACTTACAGATTTTCAAGTTCGTACCTGTCATTATGACATTAGTTTCATTTGTTTTACATATACTAATAGTTTTTATGCATATTTTCCTTACTGGATGTGGTTTTTATTTGAGCTGAAAATGTATGGCTAAGGTAACGTTTGGATGTTAGTCCCATGTGAAGTTTTATAACCAGAATAACAACTTTGATTCACACAAACCTAAACAGAAGGATACTTCTATACTTTAGATCTGACAATAATTTATTTCGAACATTATAATTGGTTTGACTTCTTATCGCACCTCTATGTGGCATATTTCTGTAACCAGTAAATGTCATTCCGATCCGATCAAGTGTTTTGTGACTGCGTGCAAGTACATTTCCTTATAATCATCATTATAGACCAATTGTGCTTATTTTCGTAGGGGTATTTATCCAAGTGTGTAATGTGTCTGTTTTCCAGATCTGTGCATGCTAGAATTCAGGTGTATGTATACCTTACACACTTATTTAAATATAAAGGCTGAGCCACTCTTAAGTCAGTGACCTTAGCCAGAGACTGCTTTCTACTTTTACGCATTATCACTCCGTTTGTCTGCTCATAGATGAAATGCATATATCTTCAATTCATTTCATATTTTGACTTCTCAAATTCATGTTGCCGTGAACAATTGTGTCAGTAAATATGTATGAAATCAAACGTCGGATATATATTTTAACTGACATCAAACATGCTTTATAAAAGTAGTGGATTTGAAGTCTATCGCTTACAGTATACATATACATATGATAACTGGAGAATTTTGAATACAAATTTTATCATTTACACAGTTTTGTTTACTTATCTCACAATCTGTTTAATAAACTAGTTCGTTCTCTTCCAGTATAATGTAATCATATTTGTGTGTAAGACAAGTAAAATTATGCTGCATAAATATGTTTACAACATCCCTTGAAAACTAGTGGTTAATCTATTATTGGATAAGTGAAATTAGTGTAAATAAAGGACACATAGCTAGGAAACTTTCTTGGGGAAAGTGGTGATCTGAAATTTCGGAAAATTATCTAGTAACATTGTTTATGTTAGCAACGGATTTTCCGGATCTCACCAACCTTCAGTATGTCACGTCTTAAGGTTAACATTTAACAATGTATCCAATAAACCTTTACACAAATTTAATAAGCTTGAATTATTGATACTATAAGGACTTCGATAAAAGACCTGTGAAACCATGAGCTTATCTTTGATAATAGAGTTGAGACAAAGTAATTCTATTTGGTTGTAGTTTATCATTACAGAAAAGGTATTGAAATAAAGCATTCGCATTAAGTGGTGTAAGATTTCCTCGTATTTTGTTAGATAAGTTCAACAAATGTTTGTTAATCTGTGGAAGAGAATTGAAATTAACATCATTATTTGAATAACATATTACATGGAATTAACTTGGAAATCCTTTCGAACAACTGGTCCCTATGAAGCTGACTAACAGGTCATGGGCTATCAGGATCGACTTCATATAGAAATAAATATACTAAAATCTTAACAAATTTTATAAGATCTTCACATAGTGAATTAATAAATCCAGAATTTTAGCTAGATGCTTCTGAAATGCATATTGACGATTGATTTCAGAATTTTTGAGATCCGAACTCAGTTATTTAGTATCCTTGCGCAACTATCTTTCATTTTTATGGTCGATATTTTAGCTTTTAGTACTCTATTTCGTAATATCCTAGATTCGGGGGTGTATCGTGTTTGAATATTTGCAAAGGGAAGTTTAGGATAACCAGCTCAAATATTCTGGAAAAATTGGGTAGGTGCAGACTACTTGCTTATGGTGTACACGATAATCGATATCTGTGTTTGGAGATGTCTAATAACGTGCCTCATAATCGGTCATAGTGGTGTGTTTGCATTCATTTTCTATCTTAACCAACATATTAAGCTCCAGTCTTCTCGTAAATTTTATGTCTTAAATCCATCGCTTTTTGAACTGCGTTTTCCAATGGTTGCTCATCTTCACTATTACTATTATTTCAGTTCGATTTATATTCTTAATTTTACCTCATCGAATTGGGCTGTAACATGCATATCCCTTGGATTATATTGGTTTTGACTAAGTATTTGGCTATATACTAACCAGTTGTACATTTGGAACTAATCTCAGTTGCTATGTGATAGTATTTATACATTGTTAACTAATTAGAAAGATCGACCAGATAAGGATTATCAAATAGTGGAAATTTGCAACTTAAGCGGATGATTTAGTGGTGTTATGTTGTATGAGCTAGATAGTGTAGTTGCAAATATTTCATTGTTGTAGACAGCGTCATCAAGTTCTACTGTCAAAAAACTACCTAAATCACGCATCGTGGCAAGCGAAATTGATCAGTTAATATAGATAAAGTTTGTGTTTGATGTCCGTGGGTCGAAGTGAATTAATCCATAGAAATGACCAACAGCTACGCTCATACTGTTTCCAGACTTTATGTACATATGCTTTATGCTTACGATACACAGATTACTCAATACGGTTTTGATTTTTTTCTTTTGTTCATCTGGTACAATGATGCAATTAATCCCACCTAACTTTCACAAACTCATCTGAGTTTTTCAGATCATTTATTTACGGACTTCGTTTCTGATCAATATCTTTTAATAATAATGAAAGACGTTATGCACTTGGTTATTCATGTAGACTTATTGGACTGTTCACCATGGTTACATTCTTATCATGGTATATATTATGATTCTGAAAACAATTTAAGTGTACATTTTTAGGTTTCGTTTGTTGTATGGTCCATTACAGTCAAGAAACTATACTACTTATGTTTTGCAAGTAGTCAAAGTGTAAAACATGTTTTTCCAATTTATCATTGGGCAGCTCTATTTATAAAACAAGAAACGTATCTTAAAACGTCTTATTTTATGGAGATAAAAAACCATGATATGAGCAAAATAATACAAGTACATTTAATATTTCGACATTAGTTATATAAATACACTCGAACACTAGTTTACGGTAATGAAGTCGGTCATGAGTAAAAGTAAGTAGATAGGAAAATAGGTGAGACTATAATTTATGCACGACCTTTGAGTGACGCCTTAGTGACCTTGAGAGTGTCCACCTACTTACTAGGGCCAAGTGAGGGTTATAAAGGAGTTTGAAAAATAAGGATTATGATTTACAGCTGGTTGTTCGGGTTGGGAATTAGATATATGTTTTTCATCACGAACTGACATCAGCTAAAACGGCAAAACGCTGTTTAGACAAATGGATGAATGAAATTCGCTCCAAAATCCGAGACATGTTATCCTAAATCTGATTGGTTCGTCCATAAATTATAGTCTTGTTGTTCGAGGAGTAGCTTTGTATAAATTCCACCATTAAAAATAATATCTCAAAACTACTGAAAAAAAGTGTGATATTCAGTCTGATCACGTTTCTAAGTATTATCTTAATACATACAGTGCATCATGTCCAAAAAGTTAAGACAATTCAAAGTTGATGAATAGAATAAAGATTTAACTGATATGGGGTAAAATTAAATCACAAATTTATCAGATGAACGTCTGATTTGTAATTTCAACGATATCAATGGTCATTTCATCATCTCATGTGCTTAATCTACTAACAATTTCTAAAGTGAGCATTTCAGGAAAGTCTGGAATATTCTGATCACATTTTTACATTTCATTTACAAATTGAATAGATTAGATAACCTACTGAGAATTAATTAGTTCTCTCTTAATACCAGGTCATTCGTTGAGGTCACTTATTTGTCACATTCGGAAGCATTTATCAGTGTAACTTAGTGGACGACAAAATAAGTGAATTATGTTGTCGATTCTGCGACACGTGGTAGATACGGAAAACTCTTCTTTGATTTTTCCTTTGAAACCTTACCAAATCCAGTCGTAAATTACAAGATATTCACTCCTTGACTGTTTTATCTTGAGACCGCTGACCAATTTCATGTGACAGATTATTGATCATAATCTTAATCCTAATTTGGTTTATTTCTCGTCTACTATTTGCGCGGCAGCCCAGTGTCTCTGAATTGATCAATTAAAATACTGACTTGCACCACTAATCTTGAGCCGACAGTTAAGTCCCCATTGATTCGTTATTTGGAAGCTCCTCTGTACACCCTGCCTTGAGTCCAAAAATCAGTAACCAGCTTCTACTTTATTTATATTTCAAACAGACGTGATTTACATACAGACATACCGGACGGTGTCACAACAAAGTTGCTATGAATAAGGGAAACTGAGTAATAGACTGGCAGCAAACTAGGAGTAGTAAGTGGCATGATAGTAGTTAATGGGTTAACCGAAAGCTTATAATAAACAGAATCCATGGAATGTAATTGGGATTGATAAAGACGTACAGTATAATTTGAAATTTTTTTAGATTTATTGCATTTTGTATTTGTAATATAACAGATTATATGTATTTGAGTTAAAATAATGATGACTGCATATAGATATAAGTAACATCTAAAGTATCCCAATACACAATGATGATGAATAAGAACTTCCGTCTAAATTTGAGCGAACAGTTTCACAATATTTGGGCGTCGAGTTAATGTGAGTCATTAAAGAGGGAGAATGTATTTGTAAAATCTCAGGAAAATATAATCAAACAACAAAATTATCGACCAGATTGCCAGGCGAAACGTTGGATTTACTTCGAAATTCATTCGCTGAGATTTTACAAATACATTCTTCCTCTTTAATGTCTCACAATGGTGATGAGTCAGCTTATTTGAGTATGATATGAACTAATACACACTTTAATATAAAATGCGAAGAGATATTTCATGAAAAGATTATTGAATTATGGGTCTTTGTTAATCAATATAATCACTTGTATAAGTTATCGGAATCCATTGTCATTATTTAGAACGTACTAGATATTAATCTAAAATAAAACACGAAAGTTACGATAAATCTTCCATTGAAAAAACAAACTACTATCAAAATGACATGGAAAATTTTACTCACATATGGACCAAATAAGAGTTTATTGCTAATGAAACAGGATTTTTACAGCGCTTTCTCAATGTTTATGGATTATTTAGTGTATATAATTCATCAACATATGTTTGGTATTGAAACTCACTTATGCAACTGGACATCCATTTGCTTTAGAATACTTTTTGAGGCCGTAAAATACTTTTTATCTCCTGTATATTGATTCTACATTGTTTGTATACAACTGCTAATGTAGTGACATAATGACGTTAGTAGACTATGACACAGTGATCATATCTAAATTTAGTCACACATCTTTATGCCTTAGAAGTACTTTGTATGCAGTGCGCGGTAATGTAATCCTTATTTACTCAAAAATCTGTAAAACTGTCTTCTTGAAAATGGTCATTAATGTGTTACATATATAGTCATCACTTTTATAGTTTTCTGGAGAATTAGAAAGGATGACCTATTAGTCATATGTGAAGAAATTCGAATATATCAATTCTAGCTAAAGTTTGTGCTCATGTTACGGTTCAGAAGAATAATGAAGTCTACTCGAATAAACCATGTAAATTAGAGAGCAAAACTCTACCATAAAGTGTATGATATAGAAAGAAGCTTGAAATAATAACTATTAATTTTTAGCCAGTTTTTATCTAATGAAAAAAAACTTTTGGAAGTAAATAATTTGTGGAAAAGAGATTTATATCGTCCAGTGCAAACAGACTTTACGTAACAAATTTAACAAAACTTTTGAAGGTCTTTCCCGGTAAGAGCATAATATACTGATAGCCTGGAGTTGATCAAACACAATTAAGATAATGCCTTTTGTGTATTGCGCGAAATCCAAAGTACTGTGATAATGTACGTTGTTATTCACTAAATGAAAATTGGCAATATTT